CTCCGCTGCTGATGGCGGCTGCTGGTGCATGGTCGGTCGCACCATGATGGTCCGCACCGATATTGCCCAGGACCCTCGCTTCATGGAGGCCATCACCAATGATAGATGGAATGGTCAGCTAATGAACACTGGCGACGATGTCTTCCTCACCCGCTGGCTCCAGACCGAGGGCTGGGACATTGCTGTTCAGAATGCCCCCCAGGCTGAGATTACCACCCTCGTTATGCGTGACTCTGGTCTGCTGTACCAGATGATCCGCTGGCAGCGCAACGCCATCCAGTCCTTCCTCACGACTGTGATCTACCAGCCTGGCATCCGCAAGATCAAGCAGTAAGTTGACGCTACCTTGACTTCCTTCCCATGCTCTCTTCGAGATGAGGCTTCAAAAAGCTAACAATCAAATAGGAAGCACCCCTACATGGCTCGCAAGATCATTGAGCGTCTTCTTCGCCCTGTCATCGCCTGGGTTCATATCATCGCCTTCTTGATGTGCCTTGCCAAGAAGTCTCCCATTGCGTAGGTTCTTCTCCCTCTGACCTATTCTGATAGACTATGACTGACCTTGTCTTTGACAGCTACTTCGTTGCGGGCTACTACATCTGGGGCTGGTTCCGCACCTACAACGCCTTTGCGCGTCGCTTCCCCTTCACTTCTCGCCAGATGTGGGCCTGCTTTCTCCTGGACAACGCTCATCCCATTCTCGACGTCTACGCTTGGCTCACTCTGAGCACCGAGGCCTGGGGCACCCGTGACACCTGAACAGAGGCAAATTAGCCACGACGAGGATCGTAGTTGCTGAGGCGATAGCGAAACATTTCATGGCTACAAGACTTCTTTCAACCCTAAGGCTAGGGGACACTTTCTTGACATTTGGGTTTTCGGGGTTAAATAGATAGGTCTCTCACGAGAAACTCTGGAGCTCGAGACAAAGGCCATCCATAGACCGGTAGACAAAACGCTTTCGGCGACAATACATACAGACGCTGCGAGCAGACTGCATGGTGTAGGGTCGACATCATGGTGAATAATGTAGGCATAGGTATCTGCAAAAGACGGTAATATGATCCTTGCATAGATTGCATCGATCGTGTTGACATGTAACATTACCCACCGAGTGATACTCAAAGTACGCAACATATAGCGCAGAAAAGAATACTCCGCGTCACATCGATCGGTTTCCTTGACTCCACAACGAGTCCTATGAGGGTAGCAGGTCTGTCGGCATTGCAGGTCCCTCTCAGTTGTCATGTAACTAGTATAGAGCTCATCCTAGTATCTGGTGTGTTCCCAGGATCTTGGGCAAGTCCAAGAATAGAATAGAGTTTACCACTACCGTTCGAGAAGCCATATGGTTCTGGATCAGCCCTATACGCGGAGATATCTGAAACTTATCTCGCCGTCTTTGTCAGCTGCGAAAGCACTTTTACCGCACGCGAAGCCAAACCTTATTGCTGACCGTGGACCTACGATGGGTCAACGGTCCATACCTGACTTTCGATTAAATATGTTCAATCGAATATCCGGGAGTTTTCCCACCATTTTGTGTTTGGAGCTTAACCAGGATGACCACGTTATGCAGTGATTTCATCAACCTCATTGACAGCACGACTTTACTGTATTGTTACCATCGGGGGCGGCTGTCAATTTCTAATGCTTTGGTGCAAAGAGTCAGGGACCCCGGCCTTTCTGACACTGCTGCATGAAAACCTGCGCGCTCACGGGACTCAGCTGATCGAACCCAGCCACTTGGTACATCAGCCTTACTGGGGGCTGAAACGCGGAGTCTGGCGGTTCTTATGAACAGGAAGAACATGCTATCGATTAGTTTGCAGTTCATACTCGCTTGTGCCTTGAAACTCAGCTCCACCGTCCTGGCGAGCTTTCATCTAGGCGAGTCGCATTGTGTGGAACTGTGGCTTCGTCCTTATACGCGTACGCCGGCGATACCGACAAGACGATAACTTCGGTAAACTCGGCTTGATCCTGCAATTTCGAATTGCTAGCCTTTGTGACAGTATAAAAGCATGGACTCATTCATCTAGAACTTGACTTTGGAAGTACAACCACCAGTGTCAAATAACTAAACTCTCTACTATAGCAAGTCTTTACACCATTTTCTCCATCAGCCACAATGCAGTTCAAACAAAGCGCACTTGTCATTCTAGCGGGACTTCTCTCCCTCACGTGTAAGTTGAAGCCACACCTTGCGTTACCATGGATTTGGACGGACCGTTGCTGACATGTTGCTCCTCAAAAGTCGCTTGCGATGACGCACAAGGAAACAAGGGAGTGTGCAAACCACCCAACTTTTGTTGCGCGGCGGATGGCTTCCAGTGTGTTTTCAGGGAGGAATGCAAGAGCTAGATGTTTTAGATCCTTCAGCAGTCATGCTCTGGGTTGAGAAGAATTATCTTTTGTTTGATTCCAATAGACTAATGTCCTGACTTTCAAACGCTGCCCTCTAAACGCTAAGTTCTGTATGATGTCTATCAATATTGACACCTTTCCAGGCTGATTGGGGGATGCTTTCACCCACGGGCGTAACTCAAGCCGCATTGCATGATGGAGGATTGGTGCTGGGGTCGAAGGAAGTGATGCGGGAAGTTCGCCACGCTAGTATTTACTGCGCCTTCTTCCCGGTCTCAGCCTGTTCGACTGAGGTCAGCTCCCGAATCAACCTCATGTACCAGCTCGCGCCCAGAGCGGTGAAGATGTGCCACCATCCATGTAGTTCCAGCAGCCACGCGGCAGGCAATCCAAGGCTCTTCCTTGCGGCTCTCAGCTCAGCGCAGTACTCCAAGTCGATATGCCACAACGTGAACCCCACGATCAAAATGATACAAGCCTTCCAGAACTGTTTCATCAGTCTCTTCTGCTGCTCTTTCGAGTAACGACCAGTCCAGTAGACGATGAACAGCGTGCGCGGCCAGACAAATGTCAACAGCCCGGTAAAGGTCGCGACGTGGATGGCGATGTCTCCCGAGCGGACGTAGATGACGGCCATGGTGGCGATGCCGAGCCAGAGGATGGTGGTGATCGCGGCCCCCGCGGCGCGCGACTGGCGGAAGGCGTACAGGGGCTGTACGAGCGAGCCGGCGAGGACCAGCATAGAGAGGTCATCGAGGAGCTGCGTCTCCTGGTGCATGGTGCCGTGGAAAACGCCAGAGAAGATACCGACAGCGAGGAGGCCGATGGATTGGATGTCGAGGGTTCGGTACCATGGCACCGCGGCCTTGGAGTTGGCCCTGGGGTACTTCAGGGCGAGGTAGACTGTTGGAGGGTTCAGCATGATGAGCACAGGGATGGATGTGGCAGGGCTGTCACTTACTGTACGTGGCATTGGATAAACAATTGATGAACTCTGCGATGTAGCGCGTGAAGATGTAGTCTTCTTCGCAGAAGCTGAAAAGACGTGCTACGTCAGCATGTGATCACGACGACTCGGTATCTTGGAGCCTTGCTCACTTTGCCTTGCTTGTTGGATAGCCCCAGATACCATCGCCCGCCGTTGCGTCGCTCGCGAAGCGGAGGGTCTGATGCTTGTGACTCATTTCGGCGACACCTTTCCTCGCGGATTGTCGATCCTACTGCTGGAAGCTACGTTGGCTCTGCTGGCGGAGTAAGAAAAGCGCGTGATTTTGACGCGACTGAGATTTCCCTCGTGCTAAAAAACTATCGATTACCCAGAGTGGTAGCAGCCAATTGCGGAGCTTGAAATCGTTGCAGGTCTTTAGAGAAGATCTCAAGTTGGGTTTGGAAGCGTCAGCACGTCACAATTCCGCACTACTTTTCTTCAGTCGTTCGTCCGATCCTTCATTTAAAGCTCAGGGGAAGTTGCCAGCGATCCGAAGCGAGAAAAAAGAAATGGAGCCTCGGGAGGAATGGGAAAGTAACACGACTGCGATGTGGATCACGTAACCTGCAGAGCGCCTCACCCGATGCGCCGTTGGGTCCACTTTCTGGGGTCGGTCCGCATACCCGCGGAGACCCGGAGCCGGGGCGGGTGCGGGTCTCGGCTCCACCGTCTACTCCCCTGGAGTCAACAACATTTTCTCTTTCATTAAGGTACGTCTGACAGTTCTCCTTCAGAAGACTAGCAGCCCCGAGACAGGGGAAATCTCAATGGCGCCTCAGTTGGTAGTCGAGTGTGTTGAACAAAAACGAGTTCTGTGAAGGACTCCTGCACGTGTGCGGGTTCCTAGAGTTTTCTATCGTGAGTTGAAATCTTCTTCTGAATCTGTTCTGACTTCTTTGTACTGTCAATCAAGTTTTCCGACTCCGCTTCGTGAGTGATTGAGGGTTCTTAAGTTTTTGTCCAGCATTCAACGGTTGCCACTTTCTGGTTCTGACTTCCGGTGACAGCTTACGAGTGGGCCTTCCATTCTGATGGGAGCGACTTCATATGAAGGCCTTCTTCAATGTCAGGCTGCGGGATTACCATATATACGGAATGCATCGCGGGCCTGGAAAAGAGCATGAGTAATCAGGGTCGATCAGCCGCTTCCGGTCCTCCTAAGGTATCCAGAGCTTTGGGTGTGTGACAGTGTCCGCCCCACCTTCACCTTCTTAGTAGGTTCCCTCTCAGTTCCTTCCTCATAAGAGCTGAACCTCCACACACCTACCTAAGACACTTTGAGAAGAGAGATACCTTAGGTAAGGTACCTAGCTAGCTTCCCTGACAACTACGAATTGTACCTCTCGCCTTCCTTACTTAGCTACTTAAGGTAGGTATCTAGGTAGGTATCTAGGTAGGTAAGGTACCTCAAGATGTTACCTACCTCCTGCCGCTTGGCGACTTTCACCCCTTGGCCAATCGCTCCTTTTACTCCTTCCCAACGAAAGGATCGAACTTTCTCGCGCCCTTCTGGCCTTCGCCGCGTGCGGCAAACCTTCAAGCTTTGCCTCACGCGGCGAAGGCCAGAGGTTTTCGCCCTCGTCAACGGTCTCGTACCAGCAATCATACGGCATAAGTTGACCTTCGGAATTACGCTGCGTATATCATGAAGATTACCAACTTACCATGCGAGATTGTCGCGGAAATTCTTGGCCAGCTCGACAAGATGCAGGACCTTAAAGCTCCTCTGCTGTCTTGTCGGTTGTTCTACAATGCATACACCCAACGGCCTCGTCTCGCCCAGCAAATCGTTCGGAAACAGATACCCACGCAGCTGCTACCCTATGCAGTCGCATTGATCTATGCACCGCGAGCTCGTAAATTTGCACTTATGTTCAATACCCTCAACTTGACAACTGAGGATGCAGATACGTTGGTCTTCAGCTCCACGTTTGAAGGCGCTGTTGCATCGACAAGATGTTTCCAAACATTCTCGCTTCCTCACCTGTTGGCTATGGAAGCAGCCCACGAGCTCATTGCCGAATTCGCATCCCATTTTGCCGAAAAAGCCTGGACCGCCGTCTCGGACACATTGAACGACACGACGTCCACGAAGTCGATGCCGAGTCACCTGGATCTATCCCAGAAAGAGTGGCTCCGCTTCTGCCGGTGCTTTTATCGAGTGGAGCTTTATCATGGCCTCTTCACCATGTACAGTTCTGACGAAGCTAGGAATGTCCATATGACTCAAGGGGATGTGTCATGAGAGTCAGGAGTTCGGTTCAAAAACAGAGGCCGATTGAACCTTGAGGCATGCATGCTGGCTGATCTTGCACTCTGGGAGATCGAGCAGCTAGGTGCAGCGATGGAGTATCTGAGCGATCGATTCGTGGCAGCTGCAGCAGGAGCTTTAGCCAACGACGTTATCGAGCATCGGTACATCAACACAGGCAAGCCTGAATTATATACATTGCTTGTTCCAAAGCTGATTGTCAATCAGGTGAATGGGTGAGAGCCTACGCATCCTGCTTTGGTTACCCCTTGTTTCTTACGCTTTACTGATGCTCGAATAGCTTTGCAGAGGCTTGGTATGCCTTCGAAGTCTCGAAAAGAAGTCATACGTTGAGAAGAGTGATCTCCTACACAGCGAACCACGTATGTGCCCATCTTATTTGTACCTGGAACTCTGGCTGCTGCATCATTTTCATAAGAGCGAGGCTCGGCATAACACCAAGCTGGATGCATCATGGCAAGAGCTGAACTTATCGGATATCGACGGTGATGAAGGACCTCGAAAGGCGCTAGACTGTATCGCGCCCCATCATGTGATGGAAATCGGATTGGAAGGCCTCAGGAAGCGGGCATACGTGTTTTGGGACCAAGAACGCTTGGAAAAGTACGACTTTTTCTCAGTAATCTCATCCAGCACCCCTTTCCGCGGCGTCAACAGCTGAGCCCTTTTGGGATGATTAATACAAATCAGTCTGGTGTTCAACTGGCATGACAGAATGCAAATGTGAGCCATGGGTGCGGGGGAATGTGGAGCAAAGAGGATGATTCAAGGATTGCATAGCTTAATAACTTGTCGGGCACAGCTGAATAGTCGACAGCACTGTCTTAGATAATCTAGGTAGCCTCAGACTTCGCTCATAGGTCCGGGGGAAGAATAAGAAGAAACGCACATTTAAGTACTCCTACGATATTCACAGCGTTTTTCGCCTTTCAACTTGACGATAGAAACATGAATCTTGGGGCTCGAGGCTGGAGGGGCGAGGTTTCACTCAAAGTCACTCGCAATACAGCGACCCAGATAGGAGAAGTAGTGGAGCACCTGTTGGGAATCGAAGGGCCTAGCAAGGCTGTGATCTGGAATGGAAGCTGGCAAAGTTATGTAAAAAGTTGGGTACTGTATCATCTCTGGTAGTCTTAAAGGAGGAGGAAGTTCAACTCAGTCATCAATGGAATATGGAATTACCTGCCACAGAAATGCCTCCTCCTTGAAGACATTATGCATCCTCATACTATTTTTTGTAGCCAGGATGTAACCCCCACGGCGAGACGTGGCATTAAACCATGTTCGTCGCCATTTCAATCCGTCCTGGTCATTAAGCTTCCGACTTTTGTGATGAAAGACAAGTCCGAGGTATTGCGATTTCGTATTTTTCGGTACTTATTCAGATGTGTCAAACGGATAACATGGCCCTTTTGCGCGCAGGCTTATCTTGACTCGCCTAATGTTCATGAATCGAGATTGCCTCAAGAACAACAAAGAATATTTCCGTCTGAGTGGTACGCTAGCCTGGTGAGATGGGTTAGTCCCAAGACTAACGTACTCCAACGCAGCATCACATGCATCATCATATGTAGTCGATAAGGCTTAGTCATCATCTCCAATCGATTTACACGGTTCTTCTTACCCGCGGCGACGAGGGGAGGCTCGAGAGCGACAACCCCGCGCGAGCCGGCAAGTTAGCCAAGCGCGGTTGTTCTCCTCATCTTCTTCATACTCGTCTAGCGTGCATTTCTTCACCAGTTCATCCCGAAATTTTGTGAAGAAAGAGAAAAGAAGAAAAGGGAAGCCACCATGTCAGAAATCCAGCCGTCCCTCCGTGCCGTGGAGACGGTCCTCGCCATCCCGGAGCTCCTGGAGTCCATATTAGTGCAAGTCGACATGAGGACGCTGCTAGTCTCAGCGTCGCGGGTGAGCAGGACATGGAAGGCCTTCATGGATGGATCACCAGCCGTCCAGCAGGCGTTGTTCTTCAAGCCAGTCCCTATGGATATCTCACGGGCTGTGATCCACGGCCTCGAGGACGGTGTGTTCCCGAGCATACCGGAGCAAGGCGCCATGCCATCTCACACGACCGGTGACCGCTTAATCAACCCCCTCCTAGCAGAGAAATTTGACAAATGCTTCTTCGACTTTGGACCGACGTACTCGTGCCAGCGCCGGGCCAACTCCTTTTACGAGCTCCCCTGGTCCAAAACCCCGGAACCGATCCAGACGGTCCAAGAATACTGGGGCGGCTGGAGCCAGGTCAAGCCGGCCGAGCTCGACGAAGAGGCAGCACGATATCAAGACGAAGTTAGGAGGCGGTTCACGCGCCGCGGCGCAAGTTGGCGCCGCATGCTCGTCTCGCAGCCGCCGCCGTCGTCGTTGGGATACATGCGCTTCGACGTCTGCAGTCTCGCGCTAGAAGAGCAAAAGGTCGCGGGTTCCCTGATCCAGCAGCCGGTGCCCCCCTCAGCATCTCCCTTCAATGCTGCGGGATCAGAACAAGCACCATGCACCGGTGTGCGAATGGGAGAGCTCTACGACATCGTTCAGCACGCGGCGGGACACCACGGGCGGCACTCACTCTGGTTCAGGGTCCTCTGGGGCAAGCCGACCACGCACTTTGCCTTTTCGCACGTCAAGGATGTGTTTGAGAGGTTGATGGCGCGGACGAGCGTCGTCGTGGAGTTGATGCACGCAGACGATACGTCTCTCCCGAATCACCCGCAGGACCCGTCGGATGTGGGCGTTTTTGATGCTGCTTTCCGGTGCGAGGAGCATCGCGAGGTAAAGTTTGAGACGGAGCATACGTGGGGGGAGGCTGTGGAGTTTCCTCACTTTCATCCGCGGTATGTTGTTTGGCATTGGAAGTTGATGGAGGTTGAATAGCCCATGTTTGATGGAGTCTGACGGGTTGTCTGTATTATTTTTTGTCAATGTGAATAGTTGCGTCACATACTTCCTCTTTGAGGACCACAGGTCTCTCATGTATCTTCATTCGTTTCACTGTTCACTTACAAGTTTCCAGGAATTCTTTTGTACACATACCTGGCTTGCGCTACATTCCCTCATTCTTTTGAAAACACGACCATGAAGGCTGATGAAGAGGGAAGGCACTCGGATCTGTTTCTGGCATAGCAGTGTACTTACCATTGTTCTCTCTCAAATAGCGACTGGGACTCGCGCAGCATGTTTCTAAGTATTGTTTCTATACTCCCATCATGCATTGTACTTACTTGTTCATACCGGCAAACAGACATATCTGTGATAGCAATGTCACGTATTCCCATGCATGAGTAAGGTATTGATGAACGAAGGCGGGTGGCTCAATGCTCAATGACTGATGACGTCAATGATGCTCACGCACACTCCTTGCTTCTTGGATGTCACTTTGAGACAAGCTTAAACGTGAGACTTTGGCGATGCACCCAACGGCTTCCCCAAAGCGGAAAGTGACAGCAAAGAACCTGGAGAAAATGTGACACTGGATGACAGCCACGCTGTGACCTCCTGGAAACATTGAAAGCTTTGGGGCCTTGGGGAAGTACAGTACTGTGTAGCGGCGCGGGAAGTGTTCCCCCGACAAGCAGCCAATCAGACTCGTCCAGTTCGATTGGTCCTGCAAGTCGAGGTCGGCTGACGCGGCATCCGCAGTGGATCTTTTAAAGTGGAACTCTACGTACCTACCAAACGGAACCAGCTGTTCGGCGCAGAGGAAGGTGCAGGGCGAAATGGAGCACCCGCGCATTCTGGGGAGTTTGGCTGCACCTCTCGTTCCCTCTTGCGACGACATGCTTCGAGGCTGCATCGAGGCGAGCTGGATGCGCTGTGCCGCCCAAGCCTGAGATAAAGTGCACCTTACGTCTGCACAGAGAGAAAGGGTGGTTCACCAACTGGGTATGGGAACACCGAGCTGAATAATCTACAGTAGTTCGCCTGCACCTACCTGCCTCACGTGCTGGCCTGACTCTGGGTTGCCTGCGCACACCTCACTTGACTTGCCATCTGGGCACTTCCCAGTAAATTGGTACTTCACCCTACCTGAAGGCACCTACCTTAGTCATCATAATCCTCGGTGGGCTGCCCGGATGCTGAAGTTGTTTCCTGCCCGTTCATTCCGCCCCTCTTGGGCCGGGGAATTTCAACTTTCGGGGTCCTGGGTCAGGCAGGCAGGAAAGGCCCACTCCATTTTTTTCCCAGTCACGTCCCGGCCCCATTCCCACGTCCTCTTCCGAAAAATCGCCTCGTGTCCCGTCTCGTCTCACCCTAAACCTCACTTCTTCTCCCTCCGTTATCCCGATCCTCCACCCCTCCCTCCGACGACCACGTCTTTCCGTCGTGCAACTGAGACAACCCATGTCACGAAGCGAAAAGTCTTGCTGACGACACGCTCATTCTTCCACCATTCGCTATACGCACATTGATTTTCTATCAATAAATCCCGTTCATTCATGCCCACGGACACCCGCCCCGCCCTGACCCGCGGAAGCCCACCGAAGCTATAGAGAACCTCAACGCTTGACGAGTCACGCGCGCAGCGCCTTACCTCTTCCTCATCCTCCCACCACCTCAACCCGACCTCTTACGGTCGTCGCCAGTCGCCCACCATGCCGATCCTCGGCGGGAAGAATAAGTTCAACACCAAGCCGGCAGCAATCCGCGTCGAAAAAGTCCAAGTCGCCGCCCCGAAGCCGCGCCCGAAGCTCGCCCACGCGACATCCTCCACATCCTCCGCCAAAGCCTCCCCGCGCGCATCGCCAAAGCCAAACGCCAAGTCCCTCCTCTCACGCAAGCAGAGCGCCTCGCCATACCCTTCCTCTTCCTCGGACGAGAAGCGCAGCGGCGGCGGCGAGCGCAAGCGCAAGGTCGGCAGCGCGGGGCCGTCGCAGCCCAAATTCGATAACGACTCTGACGGCGACGACAACTACGAAGAGTTCCTCAAGCATGAGCCTAGCAAGCGGCAGCGCACGCAAGATGGGCAATTTGTAGATACCCAGCGCGTGTTGACCCGGTCGAGCGCATTCAAGGACAATGCGAAGCCCCTCAGCCGGCTGATCCACGCCGCGCAAATTTCCAACCTCAAGAAGTGTCCCAAGGCCACGCGCTCGCTCGGTGCGACTGCAGATGACAACGTCAGAGTGCGACTGCAATATCCGAGCAATTACGGTGCGGAAGAGTAGGTTTCTATATCTAGTCTGCCACTGTGGTACGGCATCGCTAACCCTCTCCCTAGGTACGAACTCATTAACGACAAGGGCATCATCAACGCAATCGAGGATATCAAGACGGTGGTCGGTTTTGTCGCCAACGTATACCTCACCGAAGAGCAGGCCGAAGAGTTCACAGAGCAGCAAAACGGGTTTCTACGGCGGCTCAGGAAAGCATCAAACACAAACGACTTCCACGGTTTCGTGTCGGCACTCAACGACGCGAATAAGAGAATTCACACTCTTGCGGCGGACGGCACAATACGCAAGAATTTGGACAAGATACACGGCTTGCCCAGGGGTTTGGTCGAGTTCATCCTCACCCAGGTGTACGACCGCACAGTATCACCAGACGTGGAAAAGTTGAAACAGTACAAAAACGGCACCGACAATGTCTATGGCGAGCTAGCGTATCGGCTCATCTCCGATATCTTACAGGAAAAAACCCGGATGACGTCAGACCAAGTCTTTG